ATTTGAAATGGTTTAAAAGCATGTAGAATAACATATGTAGGCAAGTAAGTGGAGGTAAATTCTCCTTTTTTTTTTTTATCAAGAAGCAAAGACAAAAAGAAAAAAAAGAAACAGGGCAGGGTTCAGTGGTTAAATCATCTGTCCCCACCAATGCCAAAAACAAATCTAGGCCCTTGCTGAGGCTTTTCAGCATCCACCTTTAAATCAGCTCCCTTACAACTACTTACTTTACAGCTTCCTGCTGTAATGATAAAGATGAGTTGAAAACACTTATAATTCAGTAATGTGCAACTCACAGACTGCACACGTAGAACCCATTGGAAATGGAGGTTATTGCTGAGTGTCTAACAGCACAATTTGGTTAGTATTTACATATTTTTCTGAAAGCAGGCTTAGTTGGGGGCAACTATCTGCTGCAATTAACAAACTAGACAGGGAGTCTAAGCATAAAGCAAAGAGAGTTTGTAAAGAACAAGGAGGCTCCACAGAAGAGGGGCCTTCTCAAAAGAAAAATTAAACAATTAATTGTTTTTTCAACCTGAAATTCATTGGCTTTGGCTTATTTTCTGTGAAGAACATAAATCCGAACTAATTTTCAATGACCTCATACTGTACCTCCCCCCACGCATTTACATTAAATACAAGGTGTTCGGGTCCACGGGACCCAGGTCTAATAAAAGTGTAGAAAGTGCAGGTCCTGTGTTCCCACACTCTGTCTTCCTCCTTTCTGGTGCTGCTGATAGTGTTTTCTTCCCCTCCCGCACAAAGTTGCAACATTGTTGAAAATTCAACTATCAACACCGTCTGCTCTTACATTCCCACACATTTTACCCTCTTTCTTGAGGGATCCAAATTTTATTTTCTCATACCCTGTCCCTCCTGCAAATTAGGGGCATAATACTATAAAAAAGACTTTGCCAGTGTGGTTCTTTATCACAACTGATCAAGATGGCCAAAGATTATCTTCTGCGAGGGCCATCCAATAGATTTTGGAAGAGGGAGGAGCTTCGGATGATGATGTTGACAAAGAGGTTTCAGAATATTTCACATTTCTGAAAATTCAGAGTCTGACAGTGACTTTGAAGAAGAGGATGAGGTTGAGCACCAATACCCCATCAGCAGCCAGCTCCAGGACCAGAACAAGCCCACCAGACAGCAAGTGAAGAAATATGGATGTCAATAACTGGTGAAATTGAATGGTCTTCTTGCCCAAGAAATGAGCCACCCTGCAGAGCTGTTACTGTGATAAG